ATTGTAAAATATCACCTCTATCTATTGTAAAGTATCAACTCTGTCTATTGTAACATATCATCTCTGTCTATTGTAAAATATCACCACTATCTATTGTAACATATCATCTCTGTCTATTGTAAAATATCACCACTATCTATTGTAAAGTATCAACTCTGTCTATTGTAACATATCATCTCTGTCTATTGTAAAATATCACCACTATCTATTGTAACATATCATCTCTGTCTATTGTAAAATATCACCACTATCTATTGTAAAATATTATTTATGTCAATTGTAAAATATAACCTCTGTCTTATGTAATTTGATCTAAACATTTTATATGTATAAAAACAGCCGAATAAGAATAAAGAGGTCAACTATATAAAAATGTGATATCAAAAAAGAGCCAAGCTTTATTACAGAGAAAACCCTATAAAAATGTAAAGTAAAAGTGAATAGCTTAAACAAGAAGATATTGGAGAATAATTGGCCCCCTTTTTATATACATATTGCTGTTGTTTCAGTTGGAAATAAAAGTGGGCAAAGTATTTCCTATTTTTCTTGTTTAACTCGCCTGTTTTTATATTACAACTTTACAGAGTTTGCCCATTTATATAACTTGGTTATTTTTTTATATATGACGTCTTTAATTGGCTAATTCCTTTATTCTAACTTGGCTGTTTTTCTGTTACTTTAAGGAGACCTAAATTTTGTACTGCATGAAACAGTAGTTTATACAACTAAATATGTTTTACATGAAAACTAATGGTTTTGTCCACTTATAAGTCCTATTAGACAAACTGCAGTCATTTATTTCAATTCTTCCCCAGTATCTAATCGTAAATCTGAAAGATTATAACGCTAAAAATAGGCACAGCACAGATAGCCCATTGTGTAGCTTTGTGCTAAATAATAAACAAGCAAAACAAATTATATGTTTAAAAATATTAAATACTTTTTATATAAAAAAGAGATCAATTGTTTTATTACATATGTTGTTTATTTAGTAAACCATTTTCTAAAATAAATGAGATTCATTTTTATTAAAACCTGATCACACTGCGTTAGTTTGTTTATGCATTCTGACTTTGATATTGGAAAAGAATAATAAGGTTTATTTGTTTGTAATTATGTACAAAGCTATACAATGGGCCAACTGTGGTCTGCCCACCACGGGTATCGAAACCCGGTTTCAAGCGTTGTAAATCAGCAGATATACCGCTGTGCCACTGAGAACGAATAATAAGGCAAACGTTCAAACGGTAATATATTATTATTGCTCTGTAAATGCTTATTTTACTAAAT